CCCCGAAACCGCCGCGGCCGATGATTCGGTGAACACTGAAGTCATTCATGGTGAGCTGGCGGGGGTGAGAAGGAGGTGGGGGTGAGCCTGGACACCCGGGTCCCGCACACCCAACAGCTGTGAGTGTCCGTGATGGTGGTGGTGGGGTCCCAAGCCCTGCCTCAGTTTCCCCAGGTGAGGAACATGGAGGCTGCTCCACATGTCCCCAAGAGCATGGGCAGGTGTGAGAGCCACTTGTGAGTGGGTGAAAGCCTGGGGGGTGTCCAGGGGTGTCCCTGGAGGGTGCTGGTCTGAGTGTACCCGTGCCAGCCCCATTGAGCCCCGGGGCAGCAGCCTCGTCACTGTGGCCACGTCCCCCTCCCTGGAAGCGCCCAGAGGTGCCCGGGGAGCCCTGAGGCGCACGGGTCCCTGCTCACATGGATGTTCAGCTCCACGTTCTTCCACTGGCAGAACCGCGTGAACTTGTCACTGCAACGAAGCAGAGAGAGGGCAAGAGTGGAGCCCCTGGAGAGATCCCCCCCAAGACCCATCTCAGGGCAGAAAGGATCCCCTGGGACTTGTCTGGAGACGGGCAGCCCCCCCCAAGGATCCCCAGCTGGGAACAGAGAGACCCCAGGCCAGACCTGGGGATGAGAAGAGCCCTGTGAGTCCCTGGTCTGGGGACAGACACCCTTGGAGCTCCTATCTAAGGAGGCAGTCCTGGCCCTCAGCAGGATGGGACACCCCATCCTCATGGCACTGTCCCCAGGCTCACCTCTCGATGAATTTCTGGAAGATGCCCCCACGCAGGTTCTGGCAGATCTCCTCAATGTAGGGCTGTGGGGACAGAGGGCTCAGCGCTGGGTCTCTGGTGCCACCCAGGTCACCCGTACCACCCCTCAGAGCCCATCACTACACGAGGTCTCCCCCACCCTCAGGATTTCACACATCCCCACTGCCACCCTGCCACTGCCAGGTCCCTGGGGATGCCTCTGCCACCGAGGGTCACCACCCCTGGGGACCCTGCTGCCACCCTGGGTCACGTCTACACCTGGGGTTTCAATCACCCCACTCTGAGGAGTCCCCAGTCTCCCGATCACCACCCCATGGGCACCTCCAGCAATTCCCTCACCCCCAAGCTGCTGGGAACCCCCTCACCAGCTTCTGGGGTCCCCATCCCTCTGGGACCCCCCCACCACCTCCAGGGACCCCTGTGACCACCAGTACCCCATAAGGATTAGCCCTCTGAGTACCACAGGCAGCAGAGACCCCCTCTCTTTCCTGGGTGATGCCCACCTGGAAGAGGTCTGGGGGCACCTGCTTCTTGCTCAGGTGGCTCTGGACGTGCTCCGTGGCACTCTTGGAGAAGGGCTGTGAGACAGGATGGGACCGTGTCACCCTGGGCAGGAGGGATTGGGGCACAGGGGAAAGGCAGCCCCACAGGGGCCAGGCAGGGCTGCACAAGTTGGGGGGGGGGACTCATGGAGGAGCTGGGTCTGTGGCTCCCAGAACAGAGCCAATATAGTGGGTTTAGAGCTCCTTCTGAAGACACTGGGTACCTCTCTCGCACCCGCTCTGGGGACCCCAGCCTGGTACCAGGGTGCCCGCACAGCACAGCACAGCACTCACATGGGAGCAGGCCAGCAGCTCCTTCATGATGTAATGGTCAAAGATGTGGCGGGTCTGGGTGCTTCGCTCCTCCTCTGAGTCCAGCTTCTCGTACTTCTTGATCTGGCAAAGGCACAGCTCCGTGGCACAGGGGTACACCCAGGCCTGCACTGCCACGGGGCACAGCCCTTGCCCCGCACAGGGCTGGGTGGCCCTTGGGATGCCAGGAACCATGGCCACAGTCCCTCTGGGTGTCACGTCCCGTGGGCACCCGATGGCTCTCACATTCCTCGAGTACCCAGAGCATCATCTCCTAGGCCCCTGCATGCTCTTGGTACGACGTCTGTGGGCCTTGCAGGTACCAAATCCCACCCCCAACCCTTCTCACAACCACGGGGGTCTGTCCAGATGGGCCCCCCCAATCTCACCTCTTCATAAAACTCCATCAGGGGTTTGGCCTCCTCCGCCTGGTTAAAGGCAAAGTCCCGGAAGAGCAGGTACCCTGGGCAGGGACAGAGCTACAGCGTGAGAGGTGCCTGCTCCAGAGCGGCAGTCTGCACCCCACAGCCCACGCCAAGGGGCGCAGGAACCTTCCCTGGGCCTGCTTGTCCCCAAAACCACCCCCATGCCATGCTCAGAGGATCAGCCAGGCCTTGGTGGGGTGATGCAGCGAGGCAAGGACACTGGCACAGGGTAGCGCCATAGGACACTACGGGGCAGGGGTACGGTGGGATAACGAGGGGGCTGGTGCTGCAGGGGAGCAATGGGGCAGGGGGACAGGCGGGCACCGCGGAGCAGGCTCCTGTGGGGCGGACGTGCCTGGAAACCGCCAGAGCCAGCAGGAGGAAGTGAGAGGCGCTTCCTGCCCTGGACGGTTAGGGCCGGTGGTGGGGGAAGTGACGGGGTGGGGG